TTAATAGTAGATATCCGTTACTAAAGGTTCCTAATCTTAGTCATAATAATAATGAATCTGAGACTGATGAGAGTGACATTGACAGTGTTCACTCTGGCAATGAAGAGGAAGAAGTAACCAATGATGAAGACTCTTTGGCTAGTGATACTAAGACTGAGCTTTATAGTTACTCTGAAAGTGATAATTAGCAAGTTTAAGAATTTATTTTTTTAAATAAGTTTACCAGACCAGAATGAATGATAAGCATTTAACCAAAGTCATTTATTTTATTTTATTTAGAATGTCTGTAATGTTGACAGATAATTTTTTGTTTCTTCATTTGAAAAAGCAAAGCAATAAACAATGCTTTACCACCACAAATTTTTATCACTTGTACAATCTACCCTACCTGCACTTGTAAAGTGCAATATAACACAGTTTTACAAAATATTTCTTTAAATTGTGATATTTGCTTTGTGCATATTCACTGTAAGAATAAGTGGGCAACCATAGGACTTTGCTGTTGCTGACAGCCCGCTGCCGGCTTTCCTGAGGTCTCTGACCATGGCCCCTTGCGGCGCGGATGGGTAGGCAACCCACCCGCGTCCCTACCATGCGGTACAGCCTAGCTACGGGGCAACGTAGTACTTGGAGTAAATTTCATTTGGGGTCGAGTAAAAAACTGTAAATTACTAGTTTTTTACTCAAAATTTTTTGAAATTTACTCTTGCTCTCGAACCCTACATCTGTTTCACTTACGAAAGAAATGCATGGATACGTCTTATGGTTCTCCCCAAGCTGCTTTAAAGCCTGAATATCGTTTTAACCGTGAGGCAACCAGCGAGAACTGGGTGTCACCGCGTGGTATCTCATGTACCACCTGCAGAGAGGCACACTCGGCCCGGCCACCTCTATGGACGGCAGAGGACTAGAACTGGTTCGAAGTCTGACATGTGGGGACAGGGTGAGAAAGATGAAAAGCAGGAGAGGGGCACCGAGAGAAAGGGATGGAGGGGGAGGGAGGGAGGGAGGGAGAGAGGTAAGGGAGGGAGGAAAGGGAGGGAGAGACAAGGGCTCAGCGGCCACCACTCAGGGAAGGCAGGAGGGACTCTGCCTCGGATTCTGACGTCCCTCCACCCCGCTATGCAGTCTCACGTCGAAATCAGTCTCTCCCCTTTTTCCGCTCTGGCGTTCCTTCCTTGTCAGTCCCCCCGTGCTTTTCTGCGTGTTTGTATGTGTGTGTGTGTGTGTGTACGCATCTGAAGGCACGCGTGTGAGTGTTTGAGGGGTGCATGTGCATGTGTGTGTAGAGGAGCAGAACGGTTCAGGGCGAGTAAAGAGATGTTTACCGGCATCCTCGCTTCCGGGGGCCAGCCCTATTCAGTCCGGTTGGGGCCCGGGCGGGGCGGGGCGAGGCCTCGTCCAGAGGAGGATGGCTCGGCGGGCGCCCCTTGCAGCAGCCTTAGTGTGTCCCCGCCTCAAATATTCATCCCCTCCCACATAATACCCCTCGGGGTGGAGGGCCCCGCGGCGGCCTCCCAACCCCCGGCTCCACCCAGCCCCCGGCGACTCGAGAGGGAAAACAGGTACGCGGAGCGAGGCGCAATACACACAATTTGCTGATGGGTTGCGCGCGCGCACACACCCTTCGCACACACACATTGTAACGTCTCAAGACAAATGATTGTAATTAGCACCACCAGGCTTCTGCGTAAACAAAACAACAGTTCCACACAAAACATCTGGGAACTAGCCAGTCACAGTCTATTTTTATCTTGAGCCCAGGTAAGCTTACAGGACATCCGGTGCTAGTTAAGTAGTCCTGAGACATTTAGAGCGAGGGTCGCAAACTCGAGCTATCCGCCAAGCCGCGCCTGCATACGCCACACGCTCTCCGAGCTCTTGGGAAAAGCGTGAGGGAGGCAGACGAGACAGAGCTAGTGGTGTCGTCCGCCAGCCTGTGCGTCTGTCTGTCTTTGTCATTTATAACACTGTAAACAATAGTAGAAAGGTTTATAGAAAAATGTCCCTTGACGCAAGTTGTAAAATTACTATTTGTAATCGTAAAAATAAATGCAGTATGAATCAACTTAAAATCCATTGGCGCGTAAAAAATGTGCTCTCGTAAACTTACTAGTACTTAAATTATAATTCGAGTTTACAAAAGTTTTTGCAAATTTACGACGGTATTTTTCAGTGTAATGGCACTCAATGAGCAATGAGGCAGACAGACACCGACACTGAACCAACCCGAAACCGAGCGTGGCTGACAGGAACTTCGGCTCCATCCGAACGCAAGAGGTGCGTGGCTCTCGGCGAGCCGAGCTACCGGACTAAGCGAGCCATGAGTTTGCAACCCCACATTTAAAGTGTACGTGAGGTGCCTACCAGGAGCACATCTCAACTCCTTGCTACATATCCTCGTCCTTACTACATATCCCCCAGTCATAACATTGGCTGAACACAACGGCAAAAACAAAAACAAAAAATCCAAGCGCTCCCCGTTCTCCTCCCCCTCACTTTCAATTGTCCTTATCCTAGCCACACTCTGCTAAAGCTTACTAAGCTAGTAGAGCTACTAAGACACTGTGCGCTGCGCCTGAAGACTGTCATTCCATAAATTGTGTCACGCGTCAGTGACACCACTCTGCCGTCCTAAACTTAGCGAGCGCGCGGCGATTCTTAGTTAAAACTTGGTGAGGAGGTGACAGGCGGCGGCAGGCGAGGGGGATGGGAGCGGCCGGACGGGCGTCGGCGGTAATAAAATAATTACATATAATTGTAATAGTAATTACTTTTTCAGGCGCGCATGGCTTCCCAGCAAGTTTCCATGACACTTTTCCCGCCGGGCTTGACGGCGGGCGACGATTGTCACGCACTTTTAGGCGAGCGGCCGGTGCGCCACCGCGTCTCCAGAAAAGTAGTGCAATCGGCGTCATAGTGTCCAGCTAGCCCATCATTTTCAGGGAGGTATCGCATCCGATTCCCGGCTCTCAGGCTCCCACTGACCAAAAGGAGGAGGGGGTGGGATATGGGGTGCAGCGGTGAGGGGGAGGGGGTGGAAACGTCATGCAAAACAAACAGAGCCTATCGCATAAATGTGTCTTTCGTACGTGGGGAATATCGATTGGCGGAAATGAACACAGACGCCGCGGAGGGGAAGTGGAAAAGGATAGGGGGGAAAGGGGAAACTAGGGGGCGGGGGAGGGGGGGATCGTTCGTGTGGGGATGGGGAGGGGGAAGTTTCCCATCAAGCTGCTCACTGCTACCAACTGGTAAACTATTTATTCAAATTAGGAAGTAGTATTTAAAACCATATGAGTCGCACGTCTGACGTCGGAAATACGAACTTACGACCATCCCACCCCAGATCGCTTGTTGGGGAGAGCACAACTAACTTGCGTACTACTACACAGTTGAATACTTGCCTGTGTTCAACGAGAAGTCGCACACTTACGAATGTCAGGAAGGCAGTTGCACTGTTAAAAGCCTACAATGATTTTCACCGTAAGCAACAGTGAAAGCCTGCAGCACTGTAGCTTACGATGAAAATCACCGTGAGCTTTGAACAGTGTGCACACTTGGTTTATCAGTGAAATTAATAACGTGCCGCAGGCAACTCTGCCAGCCCTATAGAATCATCGCAGTGGTGGAGGTTGTGGCCCGCGGGCCAGGACGAGCCAATCAACGCAGACAGAGTAGTTGTTGCAAGGGCGTCAGGAGCGCAGTGTTAGCGACCCTCGCTCCCTCGCCTCGCACAACTGTTCTGTGTTACTGCTACGCCAATCCTGAACGACCGCCGCAGGGCCACCGGCGAACCTTCTTTGGCCGAACTCGAAGGACCGGAGCGGACCGAGGCCGAGAGCCCCAGGGGTATCACGAGTGTCTTCGCTCGCCTGTCTACCCCTCCCTCTGCCCTACCCGCGCTATTCCTGCCAATTCTCGAACCCTGCTCCTGCCCACTATAAAAAGCGACAACAGTCCTGGTCGCGGAGCATGGAGAAATGGGGCGGTCTACGTAGAAACACGCAGGTACGCGGCGCCCTAGTTGTTAGTTTCAAGTGACTAACGTCACGCTGCCGCACGCGTCAAGCGAGCGTCAAGCAGGACCACCACCGTTGTGCTGAGCGTTTTTTCAGGATAACGAGGTTGGCATCGACCGTGACGAGCCCATGGGACCGACGTGCGGGTCGGGGCGCTTACTTCATTACACCACCAGAGCCCAGGCTGGACGCGGCGGTGTGGGTCCTTGGCAAGGCCCTGGCCAAGGTCCTGGCCAAGGTCCTGGCAAAGGTCCTGGCAAAGGTCCTGGCAAAGGCCCTCCTGGCCAAGGTCCTGGCAAAGGTCCTCCTGGCCAAGGTCCTGGCCAAGGTCCTGGCCAAGGTCCTGGCCAAGGTCCTGGCCAAGGTCCTGGCCAAGGTCCTGGCAAAGGTCCTCCTGGCCAAGGTCCTGGCCAAGGTCCTGGCTAAGGTCCAAGGTTAGTGTTTATTCTGAGTAATTCATGGAAAATTTGCCAGTCATGGCTGCTCATAATTCTGGAAGTTTGTATAAAGTATATACTATAAAGTACAGACCCGGTCTTGGATGTGAATGGCATCCTCCATAAGATCCAAGACTGGGAATTGAAATTCAAGGGACGTTCTTGACCGTACGGTACTCCTTGCTGCAGTGAAGTTGTAGACGGTCTCACACCACGCCACGGCTTGCCGGGAGCTCCTCCTCACATGACCACTGGCAATTAGTGATGTCGAGATAACCCTCTCAGCCCCACCACCCTTCCTCTGATTCACCCACACAACAACGGCTTCTGCCGCCCTGCCTCGCCTGCTGTCCGTTCACATAGGTATACTTCGTCTGTGTTACTTAAGTAAAATTGTATGCCAATGTGGTCGATACATATTCGGTAACTTTAGTGCGCTTAGCGGCACCCGCTAAAAGAGGGCAGTTTTAAGCTTAGCAAAAAAAAAAATATCTGACGAGAGAAAAACTATTCAACCATTTTAAAAGACATGCAAATCATACCGAGTGTAAAGGCTAATACTCTCCAGTGTGGCGGGTTGGGCGGGTTAAATATCCAAGGGGCTATGGCGCCTTACGGGAAGATCGTGTAGGTAAAACCGCAACACTGTAGTGTATTGCCTTGCAGACGGTCGAAGCGTTATTGTCATCGTCATTAGAAGCGCCAGCTGGACTGAATGAGGTCACCTCGCCATACCACGCAGCTACGGAACTCGGGCTCCACTGTACGTCACCTCTCGTGTGATGAAGCACGGCGCAACGCCATCGGGGTAATTGACCGATTGCTCCCCTTCATAACCCCCCACCCCACCCC